TATCTAATTTTGATGATTATTTTTGTCATTTTTGGTGAAAAGTGATATTTTTGACTCCTTGTTGAAAACAGCAAGTCCCATTGCTTTGATACTATACATATTGTTCATTTTCTAATGATATCTTCTGTTCTTTAATTGAAATGTGCATTGCTAACAGCTCCGCTATCTCAGCCGACCAGCTGCTTGTTTTGATTTCATACTCCCAATACCACACTCCGGCAACACTTAGATGTGTTGATGCATGCATTATTAGAATGCCACAATCTCCCAAAATGTCAAAATATAGTTAATTTGATTACCTGACAATATATTTTTGCGCTAATTGCTTGTAATTAGCAAATCTGAATTTTTTGCTGAGTAGTTTGAGATATCGAAGGTGCTTTTTTTGCCCCTTCCCTGCAAGTACCAGGATGTGTGACATTTAGGGGAGGGGTGAAAATTATCGGCATATTTTTTTAATCACACCAGTTATAGTTTTCACCAAGCTTTGCACAAATCTAATGTTTACTCATTATTAAATATTTTTGTTTTCAGTGTCATTTGAGCTCTGTTCCAATATACTGCACACTGAAGAAGAAAACCGTTGGTCAGTATGCAAAAGTAGTAATTCCAAGCATGGCTGTGATATTTACTCTTTATGCAGTCATTGGTATTTATGGTTACCTCACATTTGGTGATTCTGTGAACAGTGATATACTGTTATCATATGGATACAATGATATCAGAGTGACTGTAGCCAGAATTATGATAACCATATCGTTATTGACAGTATATCCAATACTACACTTCTGTGCGAGGTATGTTCCTGGAATCAATTCTACTTCTGTGCAGTATATGACTAGTCATATCTAGGACACTTGAGTCAGTGATTTGGTTCACGTATATGTAACATGTAGCTTAGATTCACTCTCTTAAAATGTTGTTTTGTTGTTATTGATGTTATTTGTGTTTGAATTGGGATTTTGAATAATTGAAAGTTGCATTCATCCTTTTCAAATATGCAAAATGTCACTCTCAGAACAAATTTGTAAAAATTGCTAAAAAAAAATTATGAAATATATATTCTTTCCTGACCTTTCTGCTTTGTTCTGAAGTAACGAGTACTGAAGGTTCACTAGCTTTAATGAAAAAAAAAATGGCTTTAATACTTTACTTTAATAGCCTGTATTATGCATCACGTATGAAGGTCAACATCTCCACATTGAAAGCTGACTCATGTGTTATAACACATAACAGCTAAACTATCAAAGTACTGTCTGGATAAGTTGACATCACCAAATTAACATATTTCATTAAAGACACAAAACAACACAATTATCCCAGAATTGAGAAAAGTGATCAGAAATAAGCAGTCACTATATACAATCATTTAATTATATCTCAAAACAGGTTGGGTAGGTTTTTTTTCGATCTAGCATGCCGATCAGTTAACAAGTCCTGTGTTTAATGATGTTTAAAGTAAAAATCCTCCTATTTTAGCCATACAGTTTTGTGCAAATCTCACTGAAATATAGTGATTGCGTGTCATTAAAACTCATTTATTCATATTTGGTTCCAAATAGTTGAATATTTTTATTTGACCTCATTAATTAAAAGATTAATTAAGAGAATCTCTATCTGATGCTAACATCTTTGTTACAAGCATAATTGGATTTATCAATATAAATTACACACAGATGTAATGTTTAATTTTATTACAGAGCTGCTTTACAAGGCATGTTGAAGGACTGTGGTGGCGTATTGACGTACATCATAATGTACAAAGAGAAATACTTTCGACTTTCAGCTACCATCTTATGGTTTAGTGTTACATTAGTAGTTGCACTATTCATTCCTAGTATTGGCATGGTCATATCTGTTGCTGGTGCATTTGCTGCTGCTTTTATGTTGTTTTTTCCAGGTATGTATTAGAGCTAGCATCTTTTGTAAACAAACTTTCTTTATTTCATGTCGTTACAGAAATTGTCAATGACAAAAAATTTGCTTTTCACCCTAGGATTGAGTAAAAATGTTTGTTACAATTTTTTAAACAAAAAATAGGGATAAATTGGCTGCATGAATTTGAATGATTTTAATTTAGCAATTTTAATGCCATAATAAATAGAATAATAAACATTTTATGTCCTTGCTGCTTTGGCCACCATTCGGCCATTTTGAATCAGATCGTCAAACCAATACACGAGTATATCTATGACATGATGTATAATGAAAAGATGTTTAACCTTGTGAATGCTAAAATTAACATTAGTTCTTTGCAATCTTTACAAAATATAGCTGCATAATGTGATCTAAATATGTAGACAATTAGCAATTAACAAAGAAATTGTAGAAACAATCTCTAAAATATTGCAACAAAATTTGGGGCAGGAAAAAAAGTTCACAGGTTAAACACATCGTCTGTTGCATGGCTCCATAGATAACTTAAATGAATCATGGGGGGGGGGGGGGGGGCAGCTTCAGCAGATAATGCAATAATAATTGGCTCCATGTAAGCATCAATCATGAAGGACCAGAAAACACTAAAAATAGTTGTATATTTATTTACAGGTCTATGTTTTATACAATGCGGTCTTCAAGGCAAAGCCAAAACTAAGCAGAGGAATAACTGTCTACTGGCATTAGGTGTTGTATATACAGTGTTCGGGGCCTTTGTTTTCGGTGAAAGTCTTAGTATGGCAATACTCAATGATGTCCATGGTACTTATCCTGGAGCTAAAGCAGCATCACAGTGTCCATAGTAACATCACCGTTCACGACGAATGGATAGAAATTCAAGAATTTTATTTTATTTGCATATTGTATACATTTTAAAGCATATGAGATATTATCGTCCTGGGGTATTCAACATATTTGATTGAAAACAAATCATGCTTCGAAAATGTTATATAATTATTGGTTTAGACACAAGTCATCAATTCTGGGGCTTTTTACCCCATTATTAAATATTTTTTCAGAGAAATACTGTGTGAAAAATATGGAAGCATTATTTCATAAAAAAATAAATAGTACGTACAATGAATTTTCCAGTAATTCAAAACAACCTTACCCATCTTATATATATATATATATATATATATATATATATATATATATATATATATATATATATATATATATATATATATATATATATATATGGGTAATAATACATATGATTTGTTTTTGCCACATGTACTTGACCAAAATTTGAGATATGACGAAACGTTTTTACCATAGCAGCCAATTGTAAATGATTGAAAAAAATCACTATTTTTGTGGTTATTGTGTGCTAACAGTTGTACATGATAACTTGTGGCATGAAATTTCTCTCTAAACGGTCACATAACTTGCTGTAGATGGCGTATGTACATGAATGGGGGGTAACAGGTTTAACAAATCCCATACAACCATACTGTGTTTCATTTATATTACTGATAATTTTTGTATTTTTCTTTATTATATTAATTTTTACAAATGTCATTTACATTATTTTAGTTTTAGTTATTTTTCTAGTTAACTTTCACTCTATGAAAGTGTTTGCCAAGTGTTGAAATAAATCTGTTGAAGAATTGGGACAGTGATTGTTTAAAGTCGTTTGTAGGTACTGTAAAAGGGGTATTATGTGTCCATGTGTCCGTGCGTCCGTTCGGAGTCGTATCTCATAATCCTTTGGACTGATTCCGTTCATTCTTTGCATGTGCCTAGTACTTTATGTGGGACATATGCACATGCAGTGGTTTAGCGATTCGATTCAAATGGCCCGATT